TAACATCCCTAATTTGTTTTTACAATCATAGCCTATTTTCCTTGCTTTACATTTACTGTGGTGCTCTTTAGATTTTGGAAAGCAACTGATTTGTATCCCCTGTGTGTTTCATCATTTTAGTGGGGGAGGGAGGGGGTGGGGGTGATAATCAGATGGTTACTATTATATCGTCTGTGTGGAGCCAGAAGGGCGTTAATAACTCATATCATTTAAAGGTACTATGTCCCTTTTGCAGCCAACCTCAAATTCTGTAGAACTTTGCAGGAATTATGAATATGTCATGTATGTCCTATCTGTGAAATTTAAACGTTAGCAGTGTCCTCATATTCAAATTATGAAAGGAAACCTGTTTACTTGCTAGACTTCACTGTCAGACACTATTGAGTGACTGACTGGCTTTTTTCTTCTTTGGTAATAACATACATGAAAAGAGTTGTAAAGGGTACATGAGCATTTGTCTACATCAATAACCCACTTCTTGTGATGGCCAAAATTAAACTGATTGACCATTTGGTATTTGGTACAATTGGCTGAAAATCAAGACTATTACTTTTGGGCTCTATAGCCCTAAAGTCGATTTGACAACTAATAGTCGTTATTTTTCCCACTTGAAGACATTTTCAAGCCCCACCTTTTTTAGGGAAGTTCTAAATAAGTATTATCTTTCAAATGCAGTTGGAATTTAACTTTTTCATTTTTTTGGCCTGCAAATGGGACATAGAACCTTTAACACAGAGTAATCACCCATCTGGCGCTGAAGAGATGATAATCTACATGTAATGTAAAAGCAGTGCATCATTCTGTCCAATGCTATGTTTATTCTGCCTCACTGACTTTGTTTGTTTTGCTGAAGACTAAAATTAAAAAGAGGGACTATAGATTTTATCAACAAAAGGATGCATAAAAAATGTACTCATCCTGGTTTGTCACCCAACCTTGCATCATAACTGACATTCATCATGCTCAACGATGGGTTCACTCTGGGAATCAAAGAGCTATAAATAGTCTATAAATCAATTCAAATTCTTTCAGCGGAGCTAAACATGAATTATTCTGAGAGTGAAATGCTTGTGATTGTATATATATAAGCTACGTTCGCCTCATGCGAAGGTAGCATGAGCTGCATGCACACTGCAAGCAAAAATCATCAAATTTATTCACATTCCAGTACTTTTCCCTGGTAGTTGCATTTAGTTGCATACTACAGACAAACACGACGGAAAAAAAAATCGAAAAATCCACCTCTGGAGTTTTTTTTGTTGTTAATGCCTACCAAAAGTTTAACTGATTTTTGCAGTGTAAATCAAAATTTCGGCACGATTCTGTTCTTTTGTCACTTGACTCCTCGCTTCTGTGCAATCGCACGCTGAGTAGTGACAAGTCACGCGTATGCACTACTTTCCCCAAAATTTGTATGATCAAACACTGATGGTGTTCTATGGGTTTTTCTAGTAGTGTCAATGGCGGTCAAAAAATCAATGATTTTTCAAAACAGTGTTTGGGTTGTGTAAACAGGCCTATGATAACTTTGAGAAGAGATATGATGTTTACTTGAAGTCCAGATGAATTACTTCATACACTGAATTGATTTGATGTTAGATTTTGAGAAAGAAATCAAGAGTAGCATAATATGGGCAAGAAAGGCGCGCCTTTTTATATCATTCAAATTTAAAGACAAGTGAGGTGGTTTATACAGTACATCTGCAAATATAAATGTGCAGATGCAACAGAGTGAATAACACTTTCTGTTCCTGGGAACTTTTATTGGATTTCCTTTTAATAAATTTGAAGTATCTTATTATCAGAGTATAATTTTGCTGCCAAACGTGTTATACAAGGCAAATTTTAAAATTTTGTGTTTCATTTAATTCATAAACCACTATGCATATCATTTTGATCAAGTTTTTGATTACCAAATATTAAAAAAATAGAGAAGGATTAATAATCAAATCACGTATGAGCTCATTTATGGATTTAAGTGTTAATAATTACAAGAATGAATTTAGCTAGGTTTTTATTGTTTTAAGGATATAAGTGAAACCACCGTAATAAAATCCAATTAGATAATGCAGTAAAACCATTAATCCATATTCCATGAATATCTTTTTATGATATTCTATTCCCATAAATGAAAAGTCTGAAAGAAGCTCATCGAACCTTCATGATATGAGAGCTGGAAAGCTCTTGAGAATGGAGACAATATTACATTTTTGTCCTTCTGGGGTTGACAGCCTTCAGCTCTCGATAGCCCCATTCACACCCAGAATTGTTTAATTCTTATTCCTTTTCATCAATTTCATCAGCTCACTCTTTATATCCCCCAAGCACACACAAATCGCACAGCAGAAACAAAAACAAGTAAACAAAAACCAGACAAAGAAACACAAAAACATTCATTCTTAATGATGCATTGATCTTATAAAGTGATGTATCCCAATATGAATTTCACTAATCACGGTTTGATTTTGTATTCACACACATCTAAAGTAAGATTCTGATCGAAATAAAAAAATAAAAAATTAAACCAACCCATGTGTGAACAGCTCTTGTGTTTCACTTTCGCTCTCCTCTGCATTTAGGAATCTTTTATCAGTGGTGACTCAAATTTGATTAATGGTGGATTAATGAAGAATGTGGTTGATAATTGTGTTTCAATTGATAGAGATGAAAGCAAATAATAAAGATTTGTAAGAAATTCTTTGGAATTGCTTGTATCTTGGTTTGAGCGCTATTATTGGATTGTATGATTTATTGATTACAAACTAGCACCTTTACTCCTTTCTTTAGGCGGTGTCCCACAGAAAAATCCCTTAAAAAATCCCTTGAAAAATCCTTTCAATGGAGAATGTTCTTGCTTCGTTAGAGGATTTTCAATGGGATAATTGGTGACAGACAGCAATTAACAGGATAACAAAAATCTGGATAACTAAAATCCGGATTTTTGGCCTCTGTGTGACACCGCCTTATATGACTTTGAAGTTGCATTGATGTGATGATAATGATGATAAGTACATTGCTGCTTATTATCACTTTGTACATATATGCTCCTAGTATTTCTGTTTGTTAATGTTTAGTCGTTCGTTCGTGTCTCCTTAGAGCAAGATTAATGTATCTTGATCTTCGAAGTAGTTCAGTCATGTTTATTCATATGTACACCTGTTATTGTATTTTGAAGGGAGTGAATTCTTGAGACCGCATTTGGTTTATTTATAAAAAAGTCATTTTTATTAATGTTTAGTCATGTTTATCTAAATGTACACCTGTAATTGCATGGCCTACCTTCATGTTTAAGAGGGTGAATTCTCAAAACCACACTTGTACATGAGTAGATTGTAATGTACCTTGAAGTAGGCTCACGTTACAATTAATAACTTCCTCAATTAATCAAACCCTCACCATGCTTGCTACTATTCTCACACCAAGGATATCAGATTATTTTACTATGTCCGCTCCTAGCTCTGTAAGGAAGTAGGGTTAATTGATTGAATCTTTGTTTCTTCTTATCGATGATGCCTAGTTTTTCTGCTTTATCTGTAGTTTTGCTGATAGTCTCATTATTGTATGATCGGTACTGGTAGACATGGTTATATTAACAGGGGAAATATGTGACTGTGTTGTTTTTAGCGTTGCCTGTCTGCTTTATATATGCAAATTGGTTCTGTTTGAATGCAATCCTTGTATATATATAGAACTGCCAGCACACTAACAAAAAGTTAATAGCTTTAATCACAGGAAAGTGTATGACTTGCATAACATACTATTTTCCACAAGTCATAACCTTGATCTTGAACTAGAAGTCTAGCTGCCTAGCCTGAGTGTGAACACGTCCCACAACTGCCAGAAACCTTGGAATCATGTTTGCTTGCAGGAAGTACGATTATTATTATTTTTTTCTTCGTTTTTTTTCTTATCAATAATTAACCACATTTGAGAGTTTCACATCATACAGGACCATGCATGCAAATGTCAAATACCTTGTTATATGATGGCAATGGGATTTGCATTTTGTGTTTTGAATGAGTGAAACATAATTTCCATTTCTTCAGGTGCACTGTCTTCTGTGTACAACATTCATATCAATTATCAAGCTATTTATGACGTTTTTTACTACCAGCTAAAGTGCATGAAGAATGAATTACATAATGTTATTGTTACATCATTTGCTTTGGCATTTTAATATTATTATCATCATGGGCCTTGAGCATTTGATTGTCAAGTGGATTCGGCACCTTACACATTTAATTTTTATTATTATTAGATTGGTTTCGTATTTCTGACGGAATATTTGATGTGTAACCAAATTTTCACTACCAGTATTTATGTAAGCCAATTTCTTCAATTTTTGAAACTGAAAGGGTATACCGGTAGTTTTTTTTCACCATTGTCTCTATTTGTGTGAGGAAAATGTAAATTAGTTCAATCTAAAGAGAGCATTGCTTATTTGAAGATGCAGACAGAACAACGATCATTTTAATAAACCACCAACTTGAGAAAGATATAGGAGTAGGAGCCTACAACATATAGCAACGCTCAATAAAATACACACAAAATGCACACTCATAAAAGTTGCGTTAGCCATAAATCACGCACATAACATGAGCACATACACATACAGACACAGCTAGCTAGCACACTTTCATTATGGGTATTGGTGTGTGTGTGTTCTATTTGTGTGTATGAACACCTATTGAGTAAGCAGTGGACAAGCAAGAAAGCATTTATTGCACTCCTTCCCTGCTTGAATCTTTTTCATTGAATCTGCTTATAGCCTTGGTTAAATTGATGCTGGGTTCGTAGCCGGCAATCTCTTTGCCACACCAAGACAAGAAGAGGAGGAGAAAAGAAGAAACACGCCGCTGCCGACATATATCTTTGGTTTGATTCTCACTCGTGCTCGGCAGAGGACATTCGTTTCCTTATCTCCATTTAATAATTCTGCTTGGATTTCTCCTCTCCAACTCGCTCTCTCTCTCTCTCTTTCTCCTCTCGCATCACTACAGATCACTCAGCTTTAATGCGTAAAACGAACGCAGCCCTCCGACGACGTAAGCTCGCCTCTCGTCTCCCGAGCCCAACGAGAATTTAACGACTGCTGGCAAAGGGATTGCTCTGGCGTGGGAGAGAAAGAGAAAGAGAGCCAGATCGAGCGTATTGCATCCTTAGAGAAGGTTGTGCACGCCACCCACACTGCTCCAGAGTTTAGCATCGGATGCGGTTGCTATGCATTCTAAATGCTGATGAATCGTCGTCGCTCATGCTTAGTGAGGGGAAAGCCACCATTTTGGAATACGGGATTTTACTAAGTGCTGCACCTCTGCCTGCCTACCTTTCTAGCCTACATGCCTGGACTGAGTAAAGTCAGGAGGTTGTTTCAGTAAGCAGGTGAGATAGATTGATTTATGAGCCATTATTATTTTAAGGCAGTCTTTTAAAAAAAATGTGTGTGGTTGGATTTTTGCTGGTGATACTGGTAGGCCTACAAGGGATTAGGTGATATGCTGCTACAAGTTTAACGTTCATCCTTCTCTCTCTGTATCTCTCTCTCTCTCTCTCTCTTTCTTTCTCCCCTTGTCTCCTCTGTATTCCCTTGTCCTATCTCTCTCTCTCTCTCTCTCTGTAAGTCTTTCTGTCTGTCTGTCTCTCTTTTCCCCCTCCTCATTCTCTCTATCGTTCTGTTTTTCTCCTCTCTCTCTCTCTCTCTCTTGCTCCCCTTGTCCTCTCTCTCTTTTCCCCTCATTATCTGTAAGTCTTTCTGTCTCTCTCTCTCTCTCTCTCTCTCTCTCTCTTCCCCCTCCTCATTCTCTCTATCTCTCTGTTTGGCTCTCTCTTTCTTCACTTCCTCTTTCACTTCCTCTTTCACTTCCTCTTGTAACATTTATTGCTAATTAAGATTATGACGGTGAAGTGAATATATCATTAATTAAGGATGTGACATTATCAGATTATAAAATGTCATGTTACATACCTTTGAGGGTATGTAGCTCTGGATGTATTAAATTTGTTTTAAAAATACAACATTAGGATATATGCTCATTTTTAAAACTGTTGCTGGTATTGTTATGTATTTAATTTATTATAAAATTATGTTTTTGACAAGTACACAGGAAAGCTTTTATTATAGCACTCAAAATCCATAAAAGATAACATTCTAGTAAAACAAACATAATATCGTTCAACTCTTCTATCTTTTTCAGTTTTTATTTTTTTGAATTTACCTCATATTTTTATGATCGTTCAAATCTTGCTCCAGCTACAATCGCTCAGCAGTCAATTTCTAGAAGTCAAACTCTCAACACAAACCCTCGGCCAAGAACTACACAACCCAAACCCCAACTCTATAAACCTAAGCTTCCATGAAGAACCAAGACACAATTCATCCAACCCCTTACCCTATATTTATTACAAAATAGAGCCTGGGGAAAAGTGGCCAAGCAAACGTCGAATCACCATTACAACAGTAGCATAAAGGGAGATGTAGTGTCATTCATATTAAATTGATTGTTATGAATATTAGGTGCATCAGCTTACCAATGCCCTCAATGTTGATTGCATTGTTCCTTGATAAGATGTTATATGGTATCTTGATTACTATGATTGAGAGAACGTAGGAATGACCGAGTCTGAAGATGAGTCATTAATCAAGGACTTGATTATGGATGAATAACGAATGGAAGTAGAAATAGATGAATGGCCGGCTGGCCGGGTGGGTCTGTCTATGGATAGGAAATTGATGAAAAGTGATTGTGATTCCCATGCATGCACAATGGAAGAGCAGGGGTGTATGATTTATAGTGTATTTACCCAGAATGAAGATGATTTCATTTCCATTTGGCATATACTTCAGTAATGTGCTTTGTGTATTATGAATGCATATAGTAGATGGATGAAGTCATGAAAAACATTGTACTTTATACACTTAAAGGTTAATGGCTTCATTAACCAACCCATGTGCATGGGTCCTTTGTTCTCTGTGTTTCTAATCCTCCTCATATGAAGGCGATAGCAGAATAGATTCATTAACCCCTTACCTCCAAGAGCAGGATGATCCCTGTATTAAATGATATCTATGGGTATATTAACAGAATTCAGTAGTCAATGAGTTAATTATATTTTTCCTTAAATGAATATGATACAAAGAGATGCATGATCAAAATGTTTTTTTAAATTTATATTTGATACAGCATTGACATTGGAGCCTGGTTAACAGACCATATTTGAAAATCTCAGAATAAATCAATGATTTATTCCAGTTGATCGATACCCTGTTCAAATTCAGTGGACTCCGACACTGCATCAAGTCTTGATACAATTTGTAGCAAGTTATTGTTTAATTTTAAAGCACTGCATCATAAATGTAGTAATAAAAAGATTGTAATTTCCTCTACATCCTAAGAATTTATTAATCAAGCCACTCGAACATTGTTTTACAGTGGAAATAAGGGATTAGATTTGAATTAAATGTCATCATAGAATGCTTGCTGCCCACACAGTGGCACACACTATATTCATTATTTATTACAATCATGTCGATCGACTCACATGTGTATCACATGGTCTGCAATGTTGCACAATTCTTCTGACATACACATTCTATGGCCTCCGCTTGTTCTTGTACAACTTCACATTTATTATCCTCTCGGCTGATGAAGATTTTAAACCTCAGGTTCCTTTCGTGAATTCCAGAATCAGACAGGCAGGAAATGTTATCCGTGTCGGCCCGGAAACTGGGTGGTTGTGTACAAAGCTTGAAGCGGATGTGTCTTTACACTACTATGAAGGAAGTGCCTGCTTTTACAGTTTCCTCTAGATAGCAGACCAAATGTCAGGATTTAAAAGGAGTTCAGGTTATCATATATGCATTATGTGTAAGCCTAAAACAATTATATTTTGCATTTGTAACTGTCAACCATGACTGAAATCGTCTTTGATTATGATTATTTCTTTTTGGAAATTGATTTATAGACTTACACCAGTGAAAAACAAATATTTAATTTGAAATTTCAATTTCAATTACATGCCCTTTTGAAGAATGTTCTACCATCACTATTTGTCCAGAGTATCTGCCCAAGTCCACTTTGATTGAGGCTGTATGTATCTGGCCAAGACGTATGTACATCGATTTTCAAATTTGGTGAGGAGAGTAAGGAAGTGTGCATCAGTTTCATTTCACTTACAGTTTCAGGACAGACATCTCAAGACTGACAATTTTCAACAAAGCAAAATAAATGGAAAAAAGCAGGTTTTATAATATGCTGATAAAGCTAGGAAATTCAAAGTGCCCCTCCCCACACAAAGGAAATTCAAAGTGCCCCTCCTCATACATAGGAAATTTTAAAGTGCCCCTCCCCATACATAGGAAATTCAAAGTGCCCCTCCCCACACATCCTCCTCTGACCACTTATGATTCATATGGTGATTGCCATGTAAGTTATATATTTTTTTTTTTATTTGCGGGAGGGCGTGAAAATATAAAGTGAAGAAATGAAGAGAGAGATAAAGAAAGAGACAGAAGAAAAGGAGAGAGAAGGAGGAAGAGATAGAGACAGATAGATGGGTAGACACAGAGAGAGTGGGACTGAGGAAAAGAGAGAGAGGGGTGGGTGGGTGTGTGAGACAGAGAGAGAGAGAAAGAGAGAGAGAGAGAGAGAGAGAGGGGGGGGGGAAAGAGGAAGAGAGAGGGAGAGAGGGAGGGAGGGAGAGAGGTGGGTGAGGGAGACAGGGAAATAAAGGAAGTAAAAGGAAGATTGTGTGAGAGAACAAAACTACATGTAAGTAAGAGTGAACAAATTAAAATAATAATCAAATGATGTATAGTAAATGAAAACAGATAGATAAGTAGAAAGACAGATAGATGGGTAGAAAAGACACGGAGAGAGAGAGAGAGAGATGAAAAATTTAGGTCGTAGTCAGAGGATAAAAGAGAGAACAAGAGATGGCGTAGATGTCATTTCATATCATAAGCAATATAAGAAGGGAAGTAGATGTCAGATTAAGGTATCATCTTAGCTGATCTGAGATTGATCGTATATCAAATGTATTTATTCATTTTTAGATGAATTTTACAACAGACAGAGAAGAAAATATTTCCTGTCCCAGGGCAGGGGTATCTATTCTCCAAGCTTACGTGATGCACAACTAAATCTTCTTGCACATGCAGGGTATGGTTAAACAGGCTCAATCCTTCGCTGAAAGTCCACCTGTAGAATGCATTTTTGTTGGAAGGGTTTTTCCAAATGCCTTGTTCTATATCCCCCTATAATTGGAAACTATTTCTTTGAATATTTTACAAATATAATTTTACTTCCATTGTTAAAGTCTTCCAGTATATAAATTTTATATAAATTTCTGCTATCACATTGATACACATATTGATGAAATTACTATTGAGTTGTGATAATCATTGATTTTTTTTTTCTTGGACTGAAATAGAAATGTCATATTCTAAAATATCATTTGCTAAAAACTTTCTTGAAATTCAATCATTTTGTTCTTAGTAAAACAAATCAGTATAATAGAAGCCTTTCTTGAAACGCCCCCTGCTGTTATTCGAACTTTAGTGTAGAACAGGGGTGAGAGGAAGTAGGAGAGAGAAAGAAGAGGGAGTGGGAGGGGGGTGGGAGGGGAGGGAGAAAGATATATTAGTTAATTCATGGATTGATATGCCATATTTTTGTCAGTCACATAATATTTTGGAATATAATTTTCACTTCAAGGGTATATTTTCTTTTACGAAAGGACTGTGATCAACCAAACAATGTTATTAATGATAATTAAAGTGAATCATTAGAATGCTGTCCATCACATTTGGATTCAACTCATTTGAAGAAAAAAATGAATGATAGAAGGCTGTTTGAACTCTGACTTTAAAAGACATATCCTATTATAAGTATGAATTGATTTTGATATAGGAAGATGAAGAGAATGAGGGGGGAGAGAGAGAGAGAGAGAGAGAGAGAGAGAGAGAGAGAGAGAGCGAAGCAGAAGAGACATAGAGACAAGTATAAGCTGCTCAAAAACAATTATAATTGGAAGAGACAGAAAAAGACAATTCATGTACAGTTTTCTGCATTGTATTAAAGATGATTCTTTGTGTATCGATTATGAGCAATAAAATTAATTTAATTTATATTTCCGTTATTTCGTCCTTCAAAGTCCTTCTTTGAAACTATATAAAAGAGAGCTTCCTAGAATTCAGCATTTACAAGCGTTTTTTTCTAGCTATTTTTGCTATACAAGCCTAACACTGTTGCTCAATTAGGATCATCCACTAAAGTTAAATACTACCTGCAACGTACTGCTTCTTGAACCTGTGAACCATCCCATAATCGTGATGGTACGTACTCATTGCTTGTAACTGAAGACATGCTGGTAGCAATTAGTCC